AACCATGTTGCGAAAAAAAAGGTCAAACAACCTTTTATAAAGTTGAATCGAAGGTATGAAAACCAGGATGGTGTGGTCTTTTGTGTGGTCGCAGTTGTTTGACCTTGTTTTCGCAACTCGGTCATATTAGTAGGAAGACTTAGAAGAACGCACCTTGTCCGCAGTCCAATGTATGCACCATTATTTCCAGAGTAGGACCGTGGACATGGTACATTCCCAGACGCTTCGCCGGCATCGTAGTCGGCATCATCAGTGATTCTCGCCATTCGTAGCACCATAATACAACTCGTCAAAGAGACAAGTGAAGCCCATCCTCTGACCAAACGTGTGCGAAACAGTTATGGTATCTCCCCTTCTGCCCTGACCTATTCACATTTCCTGTATCCTACTATCATGCCTTCACTGTCACAATTTTTTACCGTGCTTATTTTTAATGTACTGTGGTGTTCTAATTCGAGTGGCATTCATGAAAGCCCTTCACACTCCACACTGTCGTTATCACCCTTTCACCCTTGTGTTGGGAATGTTGACCAGACTCTGTCATATTGCTAGGTATTCCTGCCCTAGATCCTATCAAAATCTCCCTCTTGCTCCCCTCGAATCAGTCTGCTATCTCCCTGGTATATCTATTTCACTCAACCCTGCCCCCATCTGTGCTATTCGAGGCGTAAATAACCCACCCCTGTGTCTAGGTGAATAATTCGAGGCTAAAGCCTCTAAGTAAGTCTCATGGTTATGCCTTGCCTACATGTACCACGTCTCTTGTAAAACCTACTGTCAGCCAATTAGCTCCAATCGCCGCCTCGCCTATCCTGTCTCTATCCCTAATACCAAGACTTGCCATGCCCTAGTTGCTTGTCTGCCAACCCACAAATGTTGTGGTACTGCTGGCTTTGATTAGGTCAATGTTGAACCACAACGTTTGTAGGTTGACACACAAAAGACTAGGGAATAGGAAGTCATAGACTTGGTATGATAGATTGAAAGAGGATAGAAATTAGGGGAGCTACGAGACTGAGAGGCTATTTAAGAAGTAGGTTGACCTCGTTGTCGCAACTTGGTCTTTTGTTCAGGGAGACTATGTAGAACGCACCAAATCCGAAGTCGTCTGCCATGGTAGTTGTCTTGATTCCCAGAATCTGACAGTGGACTTGATACATTCTCAAACGTTTCGCCGGCATCGTAG